CAGCGCGTCGCAGGCAGCCCGACAGAACACAGACCAACTTTTACCTGCTGTCTTAACAGTGCGTTTTAGAAAATACTACAAATGGCGCAGTTAACGCCATCTGTAGCACGATGCTACATTTTAGGATTAAGTATGCTCCAACAAGGTCCACTTGTGGATATCTATTATTTTATTCGATTAAGCCAACGTGCCACCTATCACGTTGAGGTTGGCTACGCTGGGATTCGTTTTCAGCAAGTAGATATCCACACAAGTGGACCTTGTTGGAGCATACGTAATCTTAAAATGTAGTATTTTCTAAAGACTTGTTTATTAAAAAAAAAGAGATCGAGTAGATATTACAAAACCAAACTTAGAACTAACTTAGCAATTACTAACTGTCCCTTATATCTACTATGGTCATTAACTACTAAAGACGTAAAACTAAAAGGAAGTGATATTGTTGAAATATAACAGTACATACAAACAAGGGCGGTACGGATTTTAGTAAAAATGTAGTGTAATAAGAGAACAAATTCTTCAAAATTTGATAGACCTATTTAAACGTAAATTCATTGTTTGGATTCTAAAACAATTTATTGTAACGAGTATGAACGGTGCATAAAATGTTTACTCTTTGCAAAGATTTGGAGATTTTAAAAGGATGGAATTTTTATATATTCAGTAGTTAATATAAAAATCTTTTATTATTATTATCTATCGGCCAAAAGTGTGACATATTATTTTATATCAATTGATTTGCAGGATTATTTATTGATATTTTTACATTTTATGTAAAATGTATAAAATATAATCTGATGGTAAATTAGTAGACGTGTATGTAGGTAGATTATCTAGCAAATTAACACCCTTTAGGGTCTTTGAATAAGAGGATTCAAATGCTGTCGCTGACGAGAAAATTTATTAGGGCCTACTTCTTCGTAACATGTTAAGTCTATCGTGCATTTAATAAAACACAATTAATGGTAAGCAACATACTCATCATTTAAATGCGTACATTATGTCTAAACATTCTCCCTTGTATACAACAAACAAATGATAAATGATGCAACGTCCCCCAAACTCTGCTCCATTTAAGTAACATCACCAAATTCAGTTGAAAATTCACACTATACCTCATCACAGAAACAATTGCTTCCGCTGAACACGATCCTCATGTTTGTTTAGCTCCCGGCGAGTCATTTCCTCGCGTGTTACACACACTTGGCAGATCCCATTCAGTAAGCATTTTCATAATGAAAGTCGAACTGCTGGAGTAAGCAAAGAGATAGAAAGACATTCTTCTTCCGTATGCGTGCGTGAATTGAAGAGCTACACGATGCTACCGGATGCTTTGGACAATAGCATACGCAGTCCGAACAATAACAATGGGCTTGCTCGCACCAGAGGAAGCCTCTGCCTCAGTCCTTCGGCTGCGGCGCTAGCCGTTGACAACAATAAAAGGAGGAGCTGGTGCGGCGTATCCGCAACGCACCATTTTCATCACCATCCGGCGCCGAAAAGATATGGAGAACTAGGACAAGCCATAAAACAACGGTAAATAACGTTTAATAGATACTTAAGCAATATTAGGTTTGGCATACTCCAAACTTTATACTTTTGCTAGTTTTTGGATTTGTTAAAGGAACTTAATCAAGTTGACACAAGTTGATTAAAACGAGGTAGCTTGCATTTTTTTTCACTGTAGTAGTTTATAAATGATAAAGTTTTTGTAAAATCAAAGCAATATTGGGGTTAATAGTGCATTATTTATATTGACGTTTCGCCCAGCTTATTGGTCTTTTTTAAGGCTAGGTTTTTTTAGTTAAAAATATAATGCTGAAAAAGTCCAACCGTCTGGACGAAACGTCGGCTGTGGTTTTTAAATAAATAAAGCGCTTAACCCCAAGATTGCTTTGATTTTAAAAAAAGTGAATATAAAGTAGGGAAACAATGTCCCTTCCAATGTCTTGGATGCGCGCTAGCAAAATCGTAGGTAGGGAGAAAAAAGCTCATTATACTCTCAACTCTTGCTCATTAAGCATATTTTTTCATACAGTACCTGCCAAAAGTTGTGTTCAATCATGAATAGTAGTGCGAGT